GGTTTCTGAGATACTGCCTTTCTTAAATGTTTCAAAGCAGCTGAGGGGCAACATCTTTTAGGTGGAGCTTTAATCTGATTCATATACCCAGAAAATGATCTATTTCTTCAACAAATGTGTCCTGAACTCTGCTGAATTAGGTGTTTTGCAACTTTTAATGCTGCTTCTCTCAATTCTTGCATTGGCATTGTAGTAATTTTGAACAGAAATCCAAATTGTCTTTGAGATTCTGGTAGATTTTCTTTTCCTTTTCACCACATTCTGTAATCAGTGAATCCGAATGACGAGCATGTAAGCGTCTTACATTTCTGCCTTGGTAGTAGCAACACAATTTCATTGTTGGCTCTTTTAAATTGCGTTTCCTCTTCCTTGACTGTGATGATCAGCCCTTGTAACTGTAGTCTTTCACCAGCAGTTTAGCTTTCTCTTCATTAGTATTATAATCAAAAATGAAGTGCATAAAAACCACAAGGGTTATTTATACAGCAGCTTTCTCTTCAAACATGTCAAAAGCTTCAATCATTGCGAAGGTGAGCTTACAAATTTCTACTAAGCCTGCATAGAGGTTAGCACAAGTGCCATTTCAATTTCAATTTTGAAGTGGCATTTAACGTTCCCTGTGTACAGTCCCAAAGAACAGAGTAAGGCCAATTCAAAATCTTCCAATTTTGATGCCTAAGTGGCTGTGCTTCGCTTCTTGTAGTAGCTTGTCTGGTTCTTTCATCCTCTGCTCTTTGGATCAAAGCAGAAAACATACTTCAGCAAAGCTGTTCTTTCAAAGATGTGTTGCATCACATGCTGCGCTGACCACTTGTTGTTGTTAATGATTTGATGACTTCTCCATGAATGGTTGACTTAGTATACTCCACCGATGTGTTGAAGCAGAGAAAAAATTAAAGAGTGCTTGTAAAAGTCCAAAAAATGAAAACTGCAGCGGGGGGGGGGGGGACACAACACTCCGCAGCACCATGACCCAACAGATAAAGAGAATGTGCTGAGCGGGACATATTCAGCAAGTGGGTTATTTGCTTGATACGGGCTTGCAATCCATTTTATTTACCGACATGTTACTTGACATTGTATGCTCTGGCCATGCAATCAATAATAGAGGAGATATGTTCAAGCAGAGTATCCAGTATACATTCATCATTGTTTCTCCATCATGGCCTGAAGAGGAATGAATTTTATAAAGCGCTCTACAGTGGACCCTCCGCATAACGATTGGCATCAATAACGATTATTTGCATACGCTTACTTTAATTGCAAAAATGTTGCCTCAATACCGCTTAAAAACCCGTTACCGAGTTTCGTCCGAGACGCGCTCACTTGTTCGCCGGTGGCATTGTTTAACAGCCTGCCTCCGCGGTAACATCAAGCATACAATCGGGAATATTTGTATGATTACAGTTGTTTCGGTCCTCTTTTTCTGAAAATAAGTGACCATGGGCCCAAGAAAGCTTCTAGTGGCCGAACCTACAGCATATAGGTGAGAATTACAATAGAGATGAAGAAAAAGATCATGATAAGTATGAAGTGGAGTGAATGTCTCGTGCTGGCAAGGTTGTATAATATACCCCAATAAACCATCGATTATATTGGTGGTACAGCTGCTGCTGATGCTGCACTGTCAGCTGCTGCTGCTGCTTGTAGCACCGTTGTTGGTGTGGTTATTGAGAATACAAGAAAACAATTAAACCCCAGTGGATTTGCCTCCCCTGGATAACCCAAATAAGTTCAAGTGTCATCGAGACTGTCTAACTTATTTTCCATTGGGTGGTCCGTAATCTTGTCTCCCAGGATGCAACCCAACACAAGTCGACTAACACCCAGGTGAAACAAGGGGAAAAAAGGCTGGAACTAGTGCTCATATTTGGTGAATTTAAAGCCAGCAAAGGTGTGGTTTGAGAGATTTAAGATATGTAGTGGCATACACAGTGTGATAAGGCCTGTTCTGGAAGAATATGCAAAAAAGGGACCTTACAGATACTCAGGAGGGAAAAGGCACTCCAGGGGGACAACAGTGTCTCATCAGTCATTGCTGCATCTTCAATAAAGGTCAATAAATGTCATTTATTCTTCATTTAGTAGACTAGTACATGACAATATATACTGTGCATGTATTACTCTACTATTGTGCATGTTTCTCTTCTCTTTGTGTGTGGGAAAGGAAAAATGTATATTTCATGTGGTAAAATTTTTTTTTTTCATATTTTGGGTGTTTGCACGGATTAATATGATTTTCCATTATTTCTTATGGGGTAAAATTCATTCACATGCGATTATTTCGCTAACAGTTCTCCTCTTGCACGGGAATTTAAATCGTTAACCGGGGGCACTGTTGGGCTTACCACTGGAGTCGACCAATGCGAACCAATGAATGTCAAATTGATCTGTATGTGAAATGTCTGTGTTGAAAACTCACTTAGTTGGTGTTGAATCTACACGTTATTGCCTGTTTTTTTGCAGTTTCACAGCTGCTATGTTGTTATTGAGGACCTTCTTTAGTCATCAGTTCAATAACTTCATTGAAATATAGTAGATGACATGTAAGATTTCAGTGCCTCTTCTGCATTTCCCAAGGGTGACACTTGATTTGCTAAGAATGGATCGAATGGTGCTACGTTCTATGATCACTAGGAAATTGCCATTGTTTTCTTTGAACCAAAACCTTCATTTTCCTCCATTGGGAAGCAAGTCTATTTAGAGCAAGAAATTTGACAACAGCAACAAACTCTTTCTAGAAATTTTCTCCAATTAATGTGCGCTCTTTTCAGTTTGTTTTTAAATGTGGAATCCAATAAAGCCTTTTTTTCTGTGCACGAAATACATGGCTAAATGTACAGCCATCCTGTGAGTGGGTGCTGTTTTCATGTTCCTCGGAAACGCTTGGAAATATTCCTGTCATGGAACCCCTGTGTGAAGTATTTTCTTTGGTGAAAATAGCTTGCATTCTGATACAGTACACTTTTCTGAGCTTTCAGAGTTATACATCCATGATCTTTTTCTCCAGTTTCTTGAATTTTGGCAAGTTCCTGTAAACATAGATGCTTTAAACAACAACGGACTTCCATCATCATAAATCCTTGCTGATTTCCTAAATTCAGTGTCAAGAGTTTGATGAAGTTTTTCTGCACATGAAAGCATTACGTGAGAATCTGGGATGACATTTGGCCATGAGGCAGGATTCTTTTTAAGTACAAATCCTGTGGATGAAATGTCGTTGAGTCATTGAGAGGTGACACAAAAAGAAGTAGATGCTGGCTTGAGAAATTTAATGGAGGGAGGGCTTCCTGTATGATCTGACGTATCTGCAGATTCAACTGACTGGTAACATCAGAAAACTGTTTTTGTGAGCATGTCTGAGATATTTCTGCAGCTTCCTAATCTTTCTTTTTTGTTCTTCTTCTTGGAATTTTTCATTCTTTCTTTCTGTGACCCACTAGCATAAGAACGTCCATTACGTTCACGAGATGCCATAATGGAGGATGTAATCACTGTCTGTAATCATGCAAATTACAAATTTTCATTATCAATTATTATTAATTTTAATTATTATTAAATTTTTTTTTGTCAATTGTGGGGGTGATATGGCCCTTGTAGCCCCTTTCCTTGGCTGCGCATTAATAATTCAAAACGTTACCAGAAAGGGGAGCATATACAGAACTTTTACATTAGCTTTAGGTTAGTGATTTGGGCTACGAATATTTTCTAATTGCTTCTCCTTGATCTCCAATTTACTTAACAGAATTCTTACGAGTCCAAGAACAAGACAATGGTATTTATTACCATTTTCATACTAAACTAATCGTTATGTTTTGTGGATAGATGGCCAACCCACCATAGTTAAGGACCTCGAGAATTAAAGAATGCGGGGGGACAATTTTCAGTTTCACCCAACCATCGATTTTCTGATGTGGCTTATGTGTTTCTTGGGGAAGGATTTTTGTAGTATATTAATTGATGTTCTACATCACTTCCGTCGCATCTTGAAAATATGCATTTGCGACGGAAGGTGTAGTAGAAACCATTCAATCTAATTGAGATCTGTTATTGAAATGATAAGACTTTAAAGACAGGACAAAGTGCTTTTAAAACTACAAACGGAGTCAGTTTGCGTTTTTAGGTTTTCTTTTTAGTATTTTTTACAAAAAATACGTTCTTTACTGGTCATTGTGTCTTTACTGGTCTAAGTAACCTATCAGGTACCTCCCTTAACATTTAGAGGCGAAAACAAACATTTATCCATACACAGAAATGTCTATCAACCAACACATTCAGTTAATTGTCTCAGTACAAGTCTAGATATGTGTAATTACTACAGAAAATTGGAGTGGAATCTCCCCATACTCACCCATTAGCGGGAAAACACAGCTGTTCTGCTGTAAACAAAGGCGTGTTGGTGTTGCCATCTATGGTTAGGTTTATTTATTTTTATTTTATTTTTATTTCATTTATATATTTTTGTTTTGATTATTTTTAAAAATCAATTTTACTCTCCAAACCATTGGACCTTTTTAGGTAGGGAACCCTTTGCACTTGCACCATATGCGCAGTCTTGGATGAGCCCCTGAAACCTTGGACCCGCGGGGCCTAGGCAAATGCCTAGTTTGTCTATGCGGTTAGTACGGCCCTGTATGATGATAGGATGGAAAGAATCAAATAGGCACAATACCATGACTGGAACAATAAAAGCAAACCGCACATAGGAGAGAGAAAAGGTTAAATCGATGTTTTTGTCTTATTTGGACAAAATGTCAATGTAAGCTTTTCTCTCTCCTGTATGTGGGTTGTGTGTGTATGTAGACTGGAATATTGATTGTTTTAAAACCAATGATTGGGTACCATAAAATTATCTTCAGATATGGCAATAATTAAATAGATAATCGTCTAAATGGCACCTACACTTCTGTTATCACTAAATCTTCTTTCACCCAACCAGGTGATTCTCCAACAGCTGTTAAGGCTGTCTAGACAGAGGTTTGTCTGATTGGTCGGAGTAGGTCTTGAGTTGCGCCATCTGGAAATATAAGGCTGGCATCAACTTAACCAACATAGGCATCGTCGAGCTGTTACCAGTGCGTCAACTCGAGCACTTGATGTCACAGGCAAGGTTTGTTAGGAAATATGGATATGTACGAGAGATGTGTATTTCAGTGTATATACAGAGTTTACTTTTCACTTTATTTCAGGAATTAAAGTATCCTTGACTGGTGGTGTAGCCTTGATGAGAGTCTATGTTAGTCGATAGACCTTGTACCTAGTAAACCCAATTACGGTCAACTCAACAAGCTTAATGTCATTAAAATTAGATTCATTTTGATACTGTGTAGTTAGCAACTTTACTCAAACTTGTTAAATTTTTAAAATTAATATTTATTTGATTTATCATAATAATTCCCAATTTTCTTAGCTGTTAAAGATATTTCAAAATCCAAGGATTTTATTAATTCTGTTGTGATAGGATTTATATTCTTATGAGTTATTGTTATTACCTATAATGAATAAGGGCCCAAACCTATAAGACATACACGAACTTGGGGTAATGGTGGCTTAATCAGGTTTAATCTCAAGAAACGGGCAGTGGGCATACGTTTATTGAATTAAGATCCCTTGAGCAGCATTCACAGCATCCATAAAAGGTGAAAGTTACTTTATGTACTGTGTTGTTGAGTAACCTTCAGACTTCATAACGAGACAAAAAGGGCACTTAACAACTTTATAGCAGATATGAAAAACATCGATTGGCAAAATGAGCTCGTAACATATACAGATATGAATGAATGTATAATTAAATTTTCTAAAAAATAGCCCATTGCCTCTTTAACAGTTATTGCCCAGAAATTCTACGTCACAGCAAAAGAGACTGAATAATCCCTGGCTAACACCAGCATCCTCAAATCCATTACACAAAGCACTAAATATGTAAAACAGCATAGAATGGGTTCAGATTAGAAAACTATGAGACAGTTGAAGTTACTCGTCAGCACTTGCCACCTTGAAAGAAGGTCATTAAAAATTGTTATTATGATAATAGATTACATAACATCAAAGGTGATATGAAAAAACCTGGAAATACTCTTTCTGAAATTCTTGGACTCTTAAAAAGTTATCAGAAACAAAGCAATCAAACTAACTAAATCAGATGAACCCTACTCACTCACTGAAAACAGCAAACAGGACTTAATGTTTCTTCTCACCATAGGAAAAAAATCTAGAACAAAATACAGTTGACCCGGTTAACGAATTTTTTCTTTCCATTAGTATGTTCAGGTGCCAGTACTGACCGAATTTTTTCCCATAGGAATATGTGAAGTAGATTAGTCCATTTCAGACCCCCAAACATCACGTACAAACGCACTTACATAAAATACACTTACATAAATTGGTCGCCATTTGGAGGTGATCGTTAAAGCGGGGGTCCACTGTACCAAGCACAAACCCCGTCCATCAGACTACTCATAGATACCTACCAAATACAGTGGACCCCCGGTTAAACGATTTTAAATCCGTGCCAAGACGGGCTATTCGTTAAATGCGAAATAATCGTTAGAGCGAAGATTTTTCCCATAAGATAATGGAAATAAAAATTAACCGTGCAAAGACGCCCAAAAGTATGAAAAAAATTTTTTTACCACATGAAATGTTAATTTTAATACACACAAACCTGAAAAAGGCAAGCACATAAATGGACACTTACTTTTATTGAAGATTGGTGATGATTGATGGGAGGGAGGAGGGGAGAGAGTGTGTTAGTGTTTACGGAAGGGGTATCCCTCTTCCTTTAGGAACTTGAGGTAGTAAGTTCCTTTTCGGGGTTACTTCCCTTCTTCTTTTAATGCCACTCGGGCAGCTTTAGAGTAACTGGACTTCTTTCGCACAGATATTGTCCTTAGTGGCCTGTACCTATCGTTCCTTTATGACTTGCCTAAAAGTGTTTCACAACATTGTCAGGTAATAATCACCTGCACGGCTTGCAATAGCTGTGTGAGGGTGGATTTTAATCCCATGAAGGTTTGCACTTCAAGCACGTAGCACAGTTTTCCTTTATCTTTGTTAGTAGGCAACTTCTTCAATTCTCTCTCCCTCATCTGAACCAGTTTCCTCAGGTCTGGGCCTCTTGCTCTTGAAGTTGATCTATCAGCTCATCAGTGGTTAGTTTCTTCATTGTCCTCCTCCACCAACCTCTTCCACATTCCTCCCCACTAACCTCCAACCCAAGGACTTTCCCATATGCCACAATGGATTCCTCAATGGCACAGGGATTCTCAGGGGTAGCCTCAAAACCCTTCAAAATCCCTTTTGTTACACATTCTGCCACAGTTTCTTCCAGCAGAGTTAAGGTCCTCTTTGTCACTTCCTCCCAAGGCCTTACCTATAAGGTTACACAATTGAGGTATATTAAAGTGATCTTCTCCAAACTCTTTTAGAGATCAGTGAGTTTCTGGGTCATACAATGCACCTTTCAAACAGAGCTTTTGTGATACAGTTTCTTGAAGTTGGAACTAAACCTGCTGGGTCCATGGGCTGCAGGAGAGGAAGTGGTATTAGGAGCAAAAACTTCACCCTTAATTGAAGCTCATGTCCCCTATAAAGTCGCTCTGCCACGTCTGTAGGATGACCAGGGCATGTCTAACACCAGGAGGCACTTATGTTCTATTTCTTTTCAGTTAGGTTATTTTTCACATTGGGGGCAAATTGCATGGTGTAACCAGTTATAGAAAAATTCCCTAGTGACCCATGCCTTACTGTTTGCCTCCTCAGCACACAAAAATTATCCTTGAGGACATTCTTTTGCCTGAACGCTCTGGAGTTTCAGAGTGATACACTAATTAAAGGCTTCACTTTGCAATCACAGTAGCTTTGGCACACATCAAACAAAGTAAGACTGTCTTTCATAGGCTTATGTCCTGGGAGTGCCTTTTCCTCTGAGTATGTAGGTCCTGCTTGGCATTTTCTTTCCAGAACAGGCCTGTTTCATCACAAGTTAAACAACTTGTTCAGGTTTCAGTCCTTCAGTTTTTTGTACTCCTTGGAATTCCTGCACATATTTTTCAGGCGCTTTTGTGGTCGAACTGGCCAGCCTCCCAATGCATTATCACTCATATGGATGCCCTAGGCTTCTTAAATCTCTCAAACCAACTTTGCTGGCCTTAAATTCACTCACATCATACTAGTTGCAGGCATTTTTTTAATTTCATCCTCGCATGCAACTTCCTAGCCTTTTAAACCATATGATCGCTTGAGTGACGCTATTCCTGCTATCTGTTTTTCATTTATCCACACCCAATAGAGTTTCTCAACATCTTCCATCATTGCGATTCTTTGTTTCGAAAACACGTTGAACTTTTGGCAAGAACTGCTTCCTTGTTTGTCTTATGGTGCCCACAATACGTTGCGAGGGTTTGATTTGGGGTTTCTTGTACTGCTTGACTAGGAGGCTATACGCACTCCACTTTCATACTTATAATTATTATCTTTCTCATCTCTTTAGTTATCTTACCCTTCTGAGGTGTAGGGTTGGCACTAGAAGCTTTCCTTGGGGCCATGGGTCACTTATTTTCCGAATCAGCACCGTAAAATACTGTAATAATACGAATATTCCGAGTGTATGCTTGGAGTTACCGCGGAGGCTGGCTGTAAACAATGGGACGGAGCGGCACATGTGAGGCTGGACTGGGGACATGGCGCGGTCTCGGAACCGAATATCGGTATGCGGGTTTTTTATCGGTAATAGCGGCAAAATTTTGCGATTAAAGTAATCGTTATGCGGAAAAATCGCTATGCGATGGCCATCGTTATGCGGGGGGGGTCCATGTACGCTTGTCTAGCTCTGCAACAACCTCTTTGACTTTACGCTCATCCATAAACCACCCTTAAAAACAAGGCAGGAGACATATACAACTTGCCTGCTTTTTTGTACAAAAAAAGTTCTCAAGTATTGTCAACAATTATTGCAACGCTCTTTAACAAATCCATTGAATATCTACCTTCACAACAATCCTCAAAATAGCGCAGGGTCACTCCGATCCATAAAGGAATGTCAAGCTAACTTGAATAACTATACACCTATATCTACTTACCACTGCTCTCTAAAATATTTGAAAAATTAATTCATAGACGGATCTATTACAGTGTGATAATAAAAAAAAATAATTATTCTACCTCGTTTCACAGACAACATAATATTACCCTTGTCATTGTGGATTCAGGTATACTAAAAGCAAAAATGATGCTATCATACACATGCTAGAAAATAATAAATACCGCACTTGAAAGAAGAAGTTCCCGCTGGCATTTTCATTGATTTACGTAAAAGCTTTCGATACAGGTCGACCTTGAATGCTGTACTCCAATTACTGCCACTATGGGTATCAGAAGCCACTCCCTCAACTACCTAAAGTCATTACCTTTGTAAAAGAATCAATATGTGTATGAAATGATGCAAATTCTTCCACCCAACCATCAAGTAAGGAGTCCACAGGTAAGCGTCCTTGGACCAACTCTCATTTTTCATCTACATCAATGATCTACCGAATGATCACAGCTACTCAAACCCATATTATTGCAGTGAATACATTAGGTCTTTTCCCACCCAAACACAGTCTACTAGGCAAACACAGGCAATGTGAATTACAGAAAATTTATGCCTGGATGATGGATAACAAACTTACCCTGAACATGATAAAACCTATTTACCCCCTTTCAGTTTCGAACGAAAGCTGCAATTGATCCAATTAACATAACGCTTAAATGGATATCAGTCATAGGACTCAGAGGGAAATTCCTAGGTTGTATCCACCTTGACTGTAGCCTTAAGTTACCAGACCACATACAGCAAATCACCAAGAAAATCTCCAAGACTGTAGGCATACTTTCAAAGATAAGGTACTACATTCCAAAATCAGCTTCATGGCACTGTACCATTCATCATATACCCTTATCTTACATATGGAATTTGTGCATGGGGTTCAACAACATCCATTCACCTAAAACCCATAATAACCAGCAAAAGGCAGCAGGAAGAATGATAACAATTGCCCACTCTGCCAGGGAGGGGAATTATTATGCCTTGGCATAATAGAGGCTCTCTGTGCATTGACAACCCACTATTGTAAATACACAAAATCTCATGTACTCTTTGCATAAGACATAAAATAAAATAAAATAAACATAAATTATAACGAGGAGCATTGCTTTATTAAACTTAACATCACAATCTTAGCTTAAATAGCATGACATTTGTAAGCTTGGTGCCAGTGGTAGGTTGTAGATCATCTGGGTACAGTATATACGATAACTCATTTTTCATTCATTTAATTGTTTCCCAAACTTACCATGTACTGTATATTAAAAAATTTAAATACCTTCCAATTCTCATTGTACAGTTTACCATATACAGTGGACCCTGGTTTTATGAGTCTCAGTTTTTCACGAATTTTGGTTATCCAGCAATTTTTTTGTCAATTATAACCTTGGTTTTTGCGATTCCCTTGGATTTCGGCAGTCATTCAGTGTGTCTCCTGTGGGCCGACGCAACAAAAGCCTCCCACAGACGCATTTAAGTGTTTGTTGGCATTTGTTTCTCGGCGAGTGAGCTTCTCCCCCCACGTTCTTATGAACATTTCGTAATAATCCATTGTTTTTTGTGATTGCAACTGCGAAATAAACCACCATGACTTCAAAAGAATCTTATAGTGCCAGCCTCCTTTGGTAAAGGAAGGTGAGAAAACACGGATAGAAATTAAAGAAAGAACTCAATAGAAAAATATGAAAGTGGGTTTATGTGTGGCCGAGTTGCAGGATGTTGGGCAGCCCCATTTCATACAACACTTCCATCATGGGGAAGAAAAAGGATTTCAAGGAAGCTGATGTTGTGAAAGGGGTAAATGTGCTATGAAACAGGATCACATGCAATCTAAGATGTGAGAAATTGTTGGTGGTGTGGGCTCAACCAAAAACAGTTAGGGGGAGATAGTGCTTGCACGGTCAATAATTTGCAAAAAAGGCAGCAGTTGCATGCGATCTCATAAAGAAATGCCAGATACGAAATGCTGATGTTAGTGTATTTAAGGCCAGCACAGGCCTGTTCGAATATTTCAGGAGCGAAGTGGCATACACAGTGTTGTAAGGCATGGTGTGAGGCTACAAGTTCAAAACAAAACATGCGGCCTGAAAATTCGTTGCATGAATTAAAGGATAGTATTAGTGGCTGATGGATTCCTTCCAACAAGAGTTCAATTGTGACGAAACAGGCTTTTTGGGAAGAAAATGACAAAGAGGACCTATATCATGAGGAGGAAAAGGCACTGCCTGGGACACAAGCCTATGAAAGGAGGCTATCTTCTTGTTCTGTTGTTATGCTAGTGGAGATTTCATGAGTGAAGCCTTGTACGGGTGTATTCTCTCTGAAAATCCAGTGTTCAAGAAAAACAGTTTCTCAAGAGTATATTGTGTGTGGTGTGGAAGGCTAACAATAAGGCATGTGGGTGACGAGGGAAATTTTCTTGATTGGTTCAATTAAGTGTTAGGCCCGAGTGTGAATGAAATACCTTATGGATTAATCTGTTGCCACTCACGTTGCCTCCTGGTAATGGACAATGCTCTGCTCATTCTCCTGACTTGGATCGCAATTGTTAGAGGAAATTTAGTTTTCTCACAGTGACGTTCTTGCCCCTAATACCACTCCTTCATCCAGGGCCCATGGACGCAGTTTCATTTTCAAACTTTCAGAAAACTCTTTCACCAAAGCACTGTTTCAAAGGTGCTTGGATGTGACCTAGCCACTTGAATTGATCCCCAAGAGAGTTTGGAAGGATCACTTCATATCTCCAAATGCATTAACCCTTATAGATAAGGTTTGGCAGGGAGTGAAAAACTTCCAGGACGACGAACTCTGCTTGGAGAAAATTGTGGCAGAATGTGTCCAAGAGATGGATTTTGAAGGGTTTGGCGGCGGACCTGTCGACCCTATACCTGTTGTGGTATGTATTGTGGCTTAGGGATTCCATGGGGGTTAGTATGAGTGGCCAGGATGTGGAAAGAGTAAGAGTTGGTGGTGGGACCACAGTGAAGAGCTAACCACCAGATGAGCTGCAAGAGCTTCATCTGACACAACGCAATCAGACCACTCCGAGGAAATTGCTTCACAGGGAGGGGAAGAGAGAGGAAAAAAAAAGGTGCCTTCTTCAAAGATTAGGACATTGTGCCAAAGTGGAGTGGAGGTGCAAATGTTTGTGGGGGACATCACCCTAACAAAGATGTTGTAGGCCATGTCTGTGACATTGTTTAATGGACAATGCCTTGTGCCCATTATAGGCAAATCTTAAAGGAATGCAGAATCAGAGCTCTCTTGAACAAACTTTCTTGAGCGACAGGGGTCCAGTGACTCTCAAGCTCTTCCTAGTGCCATCAAAAAAGAGAAGGAAGTACCTGGATATTGGCTGGTACTTAAAGTCTTTATGGAGGGGATTCCCTTCCCAAATAATAGTAATTCTCCTCCCTCTCCCCTCTCCTGTCTTCCATACACCAACAAGAGTCTTCAGTAAAGGTAAGTGTGATGTTATTATTGCTTTACATTGATTTGTCGTTCTTCTCTGTATGTAAATATATATTTAATCTCTAAAAAAATTATTTTTTGTTAATACCTTTTGGGTGTGTTTTGGAATGGATTAAATTGGATTTACATTATTTCTTATGGGGAAAATGGTTTTGGTTTTTGTGAATTTTGGTTTTCAGCAGACTCTCTGGAATGGATTAATCACGAAAATCAAGGGTCCACTGCATAAAGTAGAAAAATATGGATTATATTTAAATAAACTTGCTTGCAGTAATTATTGTGGTGGGTCATTTACTGTGTGAAAATTGCTGATAAGAACTTCCTGGTACTTTAAATAGGACATTTAGGAACAAAAGATGTGAGATGTTAAATAGGGAGGCGAGTATATTGGAACGAGAGAGAACATTACGAAGAATTGTTGAATTACTAAGGGAAGGCATTGATATGCATTGGGCATAGAGGAATTAGGTCTTCTAGGATAAAGGAAGAACCAGAGAGGAGTGTGAAGGAAGTGGGGAGCATAAAGGAAACTGCCCATGAAACAATGGGTTACAGTAATATATGCATTATCCATGGGTTGCATTTTTTTGAATACCCATGCATTATAACACATTGTACTGTATAAAAAATTAATGAGGGTTTCTACAACCCTTGTTGTAACAGGTGTATCAAACTATGTTTACTAGGGATAAATAGCCCAATGCCAATGAGCAGAAAAAATGACGATTGCAGAGGAACATTTTTGGGAGACATTTCATCTGTGGAACAGAAAAAAATATAGGCTGTTCCACTAGCAAAATGTCTATAAAGTTCCTCTCTGCAAATTTTTTCATGCTTTGTACCCTTACATAGGGAAACTATATGAGCACATGTTTCTACATCAGTTACTCTCACACAGACTGTGATCATATGTATCACATCTCCAATACCATCACAGATGTTAACTGTATAGTTACAGATATCCACATATACATTAGTGACAGCCACATAAACTTTGTCCAGTAGTTTCTGCACCTCCAGTATTGCTAGACATAGTCACCATATCTACCAGTATCCAGCTGTCACAACCACTCACTGATAACACCTTCAACAGGCTGTCATCAAATTACTTGTATCCACCTGACGCAGCAGGGGACAGTGGAGCCAGAACCAATGCATTCCCGCCAGCTTTATCTCCAGTACCTCGATATGACAGATTGTTACGCCCTTGAGGACCAGGGACTCAAGGTGATCGTGAAGAACTGTCCGCAGCTCCTTCACCTCTACCTCAGGAGATGTATTAATATTACAGGTGAGCTTCAGGTAGCTACTATATTAATATCAGAAGTAAACATCATAGGATATATGGAGTTAGCAGAATGTTGATCATACTGACATAGCAACTCAATACTATATATAGTACTGTACCAAGATTGTTTATACTGGTGAGACTGTGTTCATTTATGGTTCTAATGACAGTCCAGAGATAATTAGTACTGTATTTTCTGGCATATGAGGCGCACAAGCTTATAAGACGTATAAGACAACGTTTCCAAGCAGTTGTAATGCAGCGTTAGCAAACAACTGCTAAAATGTAACCTAAATCCCACCCTTAGCCCTGATCTTGAGCATATAAGATGCAAGTTGATTTTCCAAGACCTTTTGTGGAGAAAAAAGTGCTCCTTATATGCTGGGACATATGGTATGTCCTGGCAGAGTGTCATAAAATCCCATTTGATTACTAAATATGCAACCAAATGAGAAAGTCAAACATTACCTTACTAATTTTACTTTGTCTGCACTAATGACTCAGTCTCATCAGTGAGTTACTTTGTAAATATTGTTTTGACCTCCCATACTTGAAGTCAGCAGTACAAAATAGCCCATCTATTAATCAGAAATAAGCCTTATGATCTCTTTTCATATGCATTTTACTGTATATATACCATTTTGTGTATCATATAAGACTGATTTTTTTCAGCAAAAAAAAAAAAAAAAATCCACAAAACACCCTGCATCTTATTTGGACCATATCAAAAATATTAAGAAAAATGTTGAGAAATACATTGAAAACTATCTGTTCATGTTCATGGGGAAGCACTATAGCCCAGAGAATCAGAAAAACCTGCAACTAAGGGAAGGGGCATCACTACACCTAGGAAATTTTTAGTGCTTATAAAGTAAAGCTATGATGTAGCCTAATCTAGTGAAGTGCTTTAAGTTGTAGCAAAATTAAATTTAATAGGTTATTAACTGAACTTTGGATTAGCCTATAAGAATAGCCTATGTCAAATATATTGATGAGGAAATAATACTAGTGCAGTAGAATCCCAGTGTTGAACTTAATTGGTTACTTGGTGGTGTTTGAACTGCGAAAAGTTTGATGTCTGAAACAGTATTTCCCAGGCTTTAATTATCAGACTAACACACTGGAGGATGTTGAACTGACTCTTCCAAAAGTCTGATTGTCATGTCAGTGTCAGAGTTCAGATGTAAACTTTTTACATCAGAATTTTATTAAACAAGCACTGTGTTTGAACTCCAGAAAAATGTTCAAAGACCAGTTTTTTTTTTTTTAATAATAAAATTGTTCAGACTCTAGTTCATTCGAGGTCTGGTATGTTTGAACACTGAGATTCCACTGTATTTCCTTAGTGGGGAAGTGCATGAGGCAGTGGTTGGAATGAAAAAGGATAAAGCATCTAGGATAAATGGGATTAAGAGAGAAATCTTAAAAGCAGGTGGCAATTTAATTTTGATGTAATGAGGGAAAAGAGGACAAGAGTGAGTGTGAGAAATATAGAGTAATAAGCCTATTGAATATTCTGAAAGAATTAAGAGTAAGACAGAGTAGCAAAGGAACAAGTAGGACTTAGGAAGGGTAGAGGACATGTAGGCTAAGTGAAGCATACAAGTGAACAAAACTTAGACAAAGGTAAAGAATTTGTTGCATTTGTGGATTTAAAATAGACATCTAATAGGGAGGATAGGGAAGAAATGTGGCAGGTGTTGCAAATGTACAGAATACATATCAAACACAGTAAAGAATTTTTGTGTTAATATTGAGGCCAGGCTGCTGGAGCGACCAACAGAATGATTTTATGGTTAGCCAGACTTGAGTCCTGGAGATGGGAAGTACAGTGCCTGCACTCTAAAGGAGGTGTTTGGGATATTTCCTGTTTAGAGTGACACCTAAACTGTCATATCAGCACACCTGTGGCAAGACAGTGATAGTAAGAATGATGGTGAAAATGTTTCTTTTTTGGGTCACCCTGCCTTGGTGGGAGATGGCCAGTTTCTTTAAAAAAAAAAAAAATGAGGCTCAGGCTAATGTATGCAGGACAAATGGTAGATTATTTTTCCAGTAAAGTAGTCCTTAGATAGGGATGTGTGATGCCACCATGTTTATTTAATATAGATGGGGTTGTAAAAGAAGCAAATGGTAGGGTGTTGGGAAGAGGTATGTAATTGAAAAATAACGAATTTGATGTGGTGCGAGTTGTCACAGTTGCTCTTTGCTAATAACAGTTCTTTTGAGAGATTTTGATGAGAAGTTGCAAAATTTTGTTGATGAATTTGGGAGGGTGTATAAAACAAGGAAATTAAAAGTGGAACATTGGAAAGTGTAAGATAATGAGAGTAACAAAAAAATACTAGCAGTTTGGACGTTCATATTGAGAATTGGATGAAATGCCGTATATTTGAAGGTTTTCAGGAAGTTTAAACTTGGAAGAGTAGTAGATATCTTTAAGATGGCCTGGAGAAAGATAAGGAATTGATTTAAAGTGAACTTTCAGCAGATTTTTGGGTCTTGAAAAATGGGTGGATTGAATGATGTGTTTTAGAAAGGTGGTAAAAAGGAATAAAGGAGATTTTGGTCCCAAAGGTTGAAATACGTTCCCGGTTTCTTAAGGGGGTGAGAGAGTGGGTTTTACCTTTGTGTTTGGGTGGGTATTAATTTTTTATAACCTGGGATTCCCCGGAGGTGGGAAAGACATTTCCCTATTTCCTAATTGAGGGGTGTTTACCCCATTTGTTTGGAAATTAAATTTAAATCAAAACTGGCCCATTCCCACCAAGGCCGGTGGCCCTGAAATAAAAACTTTCCCCACATCAACCCATCATGTTTCAAATTTTCTTTCACTCCTTTTTAAACTGCATCCTTAACCCAACCCCTTTCCCCAACAAACCCCTTACCCCTCTCCAACCTCCCAAACCGGCCCTACCCGTTTCCTGAACCCCTTTATAAATTTTTCTTTCTTTTACATTTCCAACACAACAATATTAAACCCTTTTGGGTTTCCCCATCCTTTAACCTCAACTAGCCTGCGATTCCCCAACCCCTGCAACAACCTCCCTCCCCCTTTTCCCCCCCAACCTTTCTAGGCCACCCATATAAGGCTTTTAAAATACTCTATACACTCTTTGTCAAACTGTTTTGTTTCCCCAAACTCCTACTTTCCAAACCCCTCAAAAACCCTTTTCCTCACCTCTTGGACAACATTTTTAACCCATCCCCTAACTCCAAACTCAATTTCTGATTAATTCACCCCACATTCCCTCAAACATCTCCACTGCTCCAAACCTTCTCCTCGCCCAACTTTTATCCCAAAACCTTACCCCATTATTTTAAACTTTAAACCCCAAATTCATACATTCCCTGAACTTTGCCTCCCCAAAAGGCAAAGTGTCTCCAAGACCCTGTGCAACTCACCCTTTTTGTATTCTATTTTTACCTCATCTTTCAAGACCTCCCCTTTTTTCCTCTTCACCCCCAAATATTTAAACATACCCCTCCCTAACTCTTTCCTCCATTTCTGAAAAAATTCCCTCTTTCCTCACCCAACTTTTGTTATCCTCAAAAACCTTACTCTTTCGTACACCTTTAACCTACTTTTCAACACCCCCCAAATTCCCCCCAAACCCCCGTCAACCCCTTTTAAAACCCAAATCCCCAAAGCACCTTTAGCACAACAACTGTTCACTCCCCTTTATTGTTTCACTTTACCTCCCACCCCTACCCTTTTTTAAGCCCCTTGTTTCTTCTCTTTCCCAAACCCCATCTATTTAAAATTTTAATAATAACTCTACCATCCTTTCCAAAGGTATACTAAAATAATCCCCCCTTTTTTACTCTCTTGTCCTTCCTTTTAAAAACTCTCACTGCCCTTTCAGGGACCTTACCCTACCCATACATAAAATTGCCCCAAACCCCCCTATCCACCCTGTTTTAGCTTTTCCTTAAACCCCTAAAACCCGCCTCCTTACCCCCTTATTTACTACTGCCTTTTTTACGTAACTTCCACCACACTCCTTTCCAAACCCCGGCCCTTTTTTTCCTTTTTACTCCATAAAAAGGAAAAGTTTTATCTCCTTTTTCCCTTGCCTAAAAAAACAGCCCGAAATTTTACAGCTTTCCCTTTATCTTTTCATCAACAATTCTTAACAATTCCTCCAAAATAAATTCCACTCCTCATTCCTTCTCCAAATAACCCCTTTTAACTTTCTCCCAAAAAATTTATAACCCCTCCTCTTTCTTCCCCTATTTTTAACTGACAAATCCATTTGTTCTCTAGGTTTTCCCTTTACTGTTAATCTCACTCCAAAAATTTTTCTTACTTTCAACAAAATTTGTTGATAACATCTCACCCACTCTCTCATTTTTCTTCTTTTTACATTGCTTCACCACTCTCTTAACCTTTTCTCTTTTTCTCCATATATTCTTTCCCCCCTGCATCACTTCTACTTTGTAAAAACTTCTCATATGCTAACTTTTTCTCCCTTACTACTCTCTTTACATCATCATTCCACCAATCGCTCCTCTTCCCTCCCGCACCCTTTCCTGTAAAACCAAACTTCTGCTGAACACTCTAACACTACATTTTTAAACCTACCCCATACCTCTTCGACCCCATTGCCTATGCTCTCATTAGCCCATTATCCTCCAATAGCTGTTTATATCTTACCCAAACTGCCTCCTCTTTTAGTTTATAAACCCTTTACCTCTCTTCCCCGAGCTTCTATTTTCCTTGTATCCATCTACCTTTACCCCAGTGTAGTACAACTAAAAGTGATCGATATACTGTGGCCCCCCTATAAACATGTACATCCGAAGTCTACTAACAGTCTTTTATTACCAAAAACATAACCAACAAATATGATTTTGCCCTAATCAATCTTTATATTATTTATTTCCCTTTTTTTAAAAATTTTTTTACCTATAATAAAACCCCCTTTTTTACAAAGTTCAAACAAAGGGGCCCCCTTTATTTTTCACCTGGCACCCCCAAACTTTCCACCCACCCTTCTAAAAGTTTCTCCTACTTTAGATTTGGTCCCCCACCACAATTTTCCTCTCACTTGGTTCAAAAAGGTCCTATACATTTACTTAACATCTCCCAAATTCTCTCTCCCGCTTCCTTCTCTCCAGGTGCTCAGCTTATTATACCCACTTTTGATCCCAACCCTTTTCTTTAATCCACAAATTCTTGAATTTACACATTCTATTTTTTTTCTCCTTCCTAACTATTCTTCAACATTACTGCACCCCCTTTCCCTTTTCTTAACTCTTTCAGTCTCCAAATTTAATCCCTTTATTTCCCCCCCCCCCAAAAACCCCCACCCCCTTCAGCTTTGTTTCGCTTAGGGCCACGACATCCAACTTCTTTTCATTCATAACATCAGCAATCATCTGTTTCTTGTCATCTGCACTACATCCACGCACATTCAAGCATCCCAGTTTTATAAAGTTTTTCTTCTCTTTTTTAGTAAATGTCTACAGGAGAAGGGGTTACTAGCCCATTGCTCCTGGCATTTTAGTCGCCTCATACGACACGCATGGCTTACGGAGGAAAGATTCTTTTCCACTTCCCCATGGACAATAGAAGAAATAAAGAAGAACAAGAGCTATTTAGAAAAAGAAGAAAAACCTAGATGTATATATATATATATGCATGTGTGTGTCTGTGAAGTGTGACCAAGGTGTAAGTAGGAGTAGCAAGATATCCCTGTTATCTAGCATGTTTATGAGACAGAAAAAGAAACCAGCAATCCTACCATCATGCAAAACAGTTACAGGTTTCTGTTTCACAGTCATCTGGCAGGACGGTAGTACTTCCCTGGGCGGTTGCTGTCTACCACCAAGCTTGAGTTGTAATTCTAAGAAGCATTGTAAACAGTTTGTGGTCTGGCAACAGAGTTGTATAACTACAGTTATCATTGTATGTAGATCTGGGGCAAAGGTGCAAGATTTAAGGTGAAAATAATGACTCCACCGGCTTTCCACATTCCTTGATATATGTATTGAGCTTATGTTCGGACAAGGTTATGGGCACATGAGACTAGCATGCCAGAATTCTGGCATGCTAGTCTCCAAACCATCACTTATTATTGCAATAAGTTTTTCCATTGTCCTTTGTGTATGTTTGCAGTTAAAGATCTTAATAACTCCTTGATACATAGTCTGTATAAAAGATGTCATATGAGATGGGCCTTGCTATACTGCAAAATAATGGGTAGACATAACTTGTCCATACCTTGCAGGAGGACAAGAATTATCTGACCCATAAATGAGCTACCTTATAGCTTAACTTTAAAAATGTAATGAACTGGAGCAAGAAAGTAAGTTCTGCAGCCCATGGCTACCTTAAAATCAGGTACAAATCACTCTTGCTTGATAAATGTAATTGTTGTTCCTTGGGGTTTGCAAGTCCACCACAGTTTATGCTGTATTAAGACCCACTTCCGGAGAATCTGGGAATTTTTCTTTTACTTCATTGGCCATCTCCTGCCAAGGCTAGGTGATCCAGAGAAGAAAACACATTCACCATCATTTATGCAGTTGCTGACTTTCCAGAAGTGTGTTGATATTGCAGTTCCAGTGACCCCTCTTAAATGCAACATCCCCACCCTTCCTTCAGAAAATGAGACTTCCCTCCCACCTCTAGGACTCAGGTCCAGCTAACCAGTTTCCCTGCATCCCATTATAAATGTTGCCTTGCTCACACTCCAACAGTATGTCCATCGAAAACCACTTGTATCCATTCCTATCTTAAACACTGGGAAAACTACATTGCCTATATCTGGGCAGAACTGAAAAGCAAACAAGGTAAACATGGTTTCTCTGAATAGTTTAATGCCTAACTCCTTCAGAAACCAACTTCAAAGAAACTAGATTGATGCCTCATTATTTGATCTGTATTTTTTCTTCAGTCCATGTATTAGGTACTGTAACTTCTTAGGTAAATATATATCCAACATTCTAAGCATGTCACTATCAGAGCTACCTGTAATAAGTACACAATCTCTTAATATTTTCTCATACTTTTTAACTTCAAGTGGTCAGTTCATTCACACCAAACTCATGTTTTGTTTGCATCAGCACCACCTCAGAGCTTACCCAGCACTGTCCTTTTTTTTTGGCAGCATCATAGATTCACTATTAATCTTCCCCTAGCACCATCGGAATCACAGAATATCCAGAGTTTAAAGAGCATGATGGTAATAGCCCAAAAATTATTGCTAAGAAGTCAGTGTGACACAAGATAGTCCCAGGACAAAACTGAGTGTACTGGTTAAATATTTGGCTGTGCTATAGAAAGTGCATTTGCAACAATAATATGCAGAATAGGATTGTGCTTAATGAATGCTTACCTTGTATGTTTTGTACAACATCAATTTATAATATAAACAATTTTAATTTAAACAGTAAATATTTTTTTTATTTCTTGAAATAAAATTATATGACTTTGTTTTTACTCAGTCTCAATGAGTTTGGAGGGATTTTTACACTCCGGTACATTAACTTTTGTTAAATGTTTCAGATACGGGAGTTAAGCACATGGCTAGCTACTGCCTCATGCTGCGGGAAGTGAGTGTGTCTGACTGTGTCCAGATCACAGACTTCGGCATGTATGAGCTAGCTAAATTAGGGCCCAACCTGCGTTACCTAAGTGTAGCCAAGTGTGACCAGATCAGTGATGCTGGTATCAAGCAGATTGCTCGCCATTGCTACAAGCTCCGTTACCTGAATGTCCGTGGCTGTGAGGCAGTCAGTGATGATTCCATGGAAATGGTGGCCAGATCATGCCCAAGATTACGTGCCCTTGACATTGGCAAGTGTGATGTCACTGACAATGGCATGAAGCTCATTTCAGAGCATTGCCCAAACTTGAAGAAGTTATCAGTGAAATCGTGTGATATGATTACAGACCGTGGTGTTCAGTATATTGCGTATTACTGCCGTGGCCTCCAGCAGCTCAATATTCAGGACTGCCAAGTGACAATTGAGGGCTACAGGACAGTTAAGAAATACTGCCGGCGTTGTATCATAGAGCACACTAACCCAGGTTTCTTTTAATGAAACTGGAATGTGCTTGCACCTCGCCTAAGTGTTGTGCCAGTGACTTAGAGAAAATCATACCAGTGCCAAATAATGTGAGCCCCTATAACTTCGGTGCCACCAAGGACAAGACCTAGGTTCTGTCATAAATGACCCAACGTTAATAGTTATGTAGACCTGGGCAAAACATGTGTCTACTCACCTGTGCCAAGTTTGCAGTGCCAAAATGGTGAGCTGATTCCCATGTGCAGCATGCATCAAATAACTCACTCCTCCGTGTACCAAAGTAATGCTACCGTCGCCCTGTATACAGTGCCAGATGCTGCTTTGTAGCATGCACAGTTGTAGTGCATCTGCACTGTGTGCATACTCATCTGTGTATGTGTCTCTGTGTGGTGTGTACCTTTGCTGTACACACTGTCATCACATGCACTATCTTATTGAGCATATTTGCTATGTACCTTCATCATGTTCATTTTCATTTCTCATCTTCATCGTATTCATCTTCATAAAGTACCATTGATATATTCCTCATTAAGTACCAATGATATACACTCTGTACAGAATCTCAGTGGCAGTTATGTTGTGTAGCTCCATAATGCACACCCTCACCATGTAACTTCATCTCATCAACTTTTCCTTGTGTAATACCAGTTCCATTTCAATAAATTGCTTCATCTGTCATGAATTATCTAGATCACTGTCAATAGTAATTGAAAATATTCAACAAAATGTATTAAGCAATATTTTACAATACGTTTTTAACAAAATAATAATTTAAAGAGTATATATGCTGGTATTAAAAGAAAAATTGTTACATGCCTTTTTGTACTTGTAAATTTACAAGGGAGCCCTACAAGTGGACTGCCTAATACAGTATTTTAATGGCATATTGATTATTTGATTCCATCATGGAAGTTCTATCTGTTTTCTGCATCTCAAAAATTATGTGCAGTGTTAGTGTTTGTTGAGCAATCCTTTTATTCTAGCCCAGTGTATATTATTTCTTTACATATAACAGCAGTATATTTTGTGGCTGGATGTTATCAATGTTAATAGTGCAGTTTTTTAGCATTCATTACTGGGAGACCTCTCAAAACAATTTTTGGAAGCAATGAAGAGGAAGGTTCTCCCTGGTATTGTTACTCAAAATGTTGCCCAAGTAAAATAATATATATTTTTCATGGAGGGGAGAGTCAGGTTTTAGTTTATAAAGTACCAGTAAAACTTAGAAAATACAATGTATTAAAATATTGTATAGTATAATGTGCCTTTACGAACAGCTGAAACTGTATAGAACTTTTAATCACTCATTACTGGATCTTCTTTCTATCAGTGCACCAGCCATATCCCACCGAGGCGGGGTGGCCCAAAAGAAAAAAAACGAAAGTTTCTCCTTTTACATTTAGTAATATATACAGGAGAAGGGGTTACTAATCCCTTGCTCCTGGCATTTTAGTTGCCTTTTACGACATGCATGACTTACAGAGGAAGAATTCTGTTCCACTTCCCCATGGAGATAAGTGGAAATAATCAAGAACAAGAACTAGTAAGAAAAATAGAAGAAAACCCAGAAGGGTGTGTACTCACCTATTTGTGGTTGCAGGGGTCGAGTCTTAGCTCCTGGCCCCGCCTCTTCACCAGTTGCTACTGGGCCCTCTCTCTCCCCGCTCCATGAGCTTTATCAAACCTCGTCTTAAAACTGTGTATGGTTCCTGCCTCCACTACGTCATTTTCTAGGCTATTCCACTGCCTTACAACTCTATGACTGAAGAAATACTTCCTAATATCTGTGTGTGTGTGTGTGTACTCACCTATTTGTACTCACCTATTTGTGGTTGCAGGGGTCGAGTCCTAGCTCCTGGCCCCGCCTCTTCACCGGTTGCTACTAGGCCCTCTCTCTCCCCGCTCCATGAGCTTTATCAAACCTCGTGTGTGTGTGTGTGTGTGTGTGTGTGTGTGTATATATATATATATAATATATATATATATATATATATATATATATATATATATATATAATATATATATATATATATATATATATATATATGTATTGGTAGACAGCAACCGCCCAGGGAGGTACTACCGTCCTGCCAAGTGAGTGTAAAACGAAAGCCTGTAATTGTTTTACATGATGGTAGGATTGCTGGTGTCCTTTTTTCTGTCTCATGAACATGCAAGATTTCAGGTACGTCTTGCTACTTCTACTTACACTTAGGTCACACTACACATACATGTACAAGCACATATATACACACCCCTCTGGGTTTTCTTCTATTTTCTTTCTAGTTCTTATTCTTGTTTATTTCCTCTTATCTCCATGGGGAAGTGGAACAGAATTCTTCCTCCGTAAGCCATGCGTGTTGTAAGAGGCGACTAAAATGCCGGGAGCAAGGGGCTAGTAACCTCTTCTCCTGTATATATTACTAAATGTAAAAGGAGAAACTTTCGTTTTTCCTTTTGGGCCACCCCGCCTCGGTGGGATACGGTCGGTGTGTTGAAAGAAGAAGAAGATATATATATATATATATATATATATATATATATATATATATATAATATATATATATATATGTATTGGTAGACAGCAACCGCCCAGGGAGGTACTACCGTCCTGCCAAGTGAGTGTAAAACGTAAGCCTGTAATTGTTTTACACGATGGTAGGATTGCTGGTGTTTTTTCTGTCTCATAAACATGCAAGGTTTCAGGTACGTCTTGCTACTTCTGCTTACACTTAGGTCACACTACACATACATGTACAAGCATATGTATACACACCCCTCTGGGTTTTCTTCTATTTTCTTACTAGCTCTTGTTCTTGTTTATTTCCTCTTATCTCCATGGGGAAGTGGAACAGAATTCTTCCTCCGTAAGCTATGCGTGTTGTAAGAGGCGACTAAAATGCCAGGAGCAAGGGGCTAGTAACCCCTTCTCCTGTATATATTACTAAATGTGAAAGGAGAAACTTTTGTTTTTCCTTTTGGGCCACCCCGCCTCGGTGGGATACGGCTGGTGTGTTGAAAGAAAGAAAGAAAGATATATATATATATATATATATATACTTTCTTCTTTCAACACACCGGTTGTATCCCACAGAGGTGGGGTGACCCAAAAGGAAAAATGAAATTTTCTCCTTTTACATTTAGTAATATATACAGGAGAAGAGGTTACTAGCCCCTTGCTCCCGGCATATTAGTCACCTCTTACAACACGCATAGCTTACGGAAGAAGAATTCTGTTCCACTTCCCCATGGAGATATAAGGAAATAAACAAGAATAAGAACTAGAAAGAAAATAGAAGAAAACCCAGAAGGGTGTGTATATTTGTGCTTGTACATGTATGTGTAGTGTGACATAAGTGTAAGTAGAAGTAGCAAGACATACCTGAAATCTTGCATGTTCATGAGACAGAAAAAAGGACACCAGCAATCCTACCATCATGTAAAACAATTACAGGCTTTCGTTTTACACTCACTTGGCAAGACGGTAGTACCTCCCTGGGCGGTTGCTGTCTATAAATATATATATATATATATATATATATATATATATATATATATATATATATATATATATACAGTGGACCCCCGCATAACGATGGCATCACATAGCGATTTTTCCGCATACCGAATTACTTTTATCGCAAAATTTTTGCCGCGCATACCGATTAAAAACCGCTTACCGATTTTCGTCCGAGACGCGTCCAATGTGCCCTCAGCCAGCCTCACATGTGCGGCCGTCCATTGTTTACCAGCCAGCCTCCGCGGTAACATCCAAGCATACACTCGGAATATTTCGTATTATTACAGTGTTTTCGGTGCTGTTTCTGGAAAATAAGTGACCATGGGCCCCAAGAAAGCTTCTAGTGCCAACCCTGTGGTAAAAAGGGTGAGAATTAGTATGGAAATTAAGAAAGATTTTGAAGGGTTTGGGGCTAACCCTGAGAAGCCTATGCCAGTTGTGGAATCCATTGTGCCTACTTCAAAGATTAAGGAAATGTGTGCACAGTGGGTTGAACTGCAAACCTTTATAGATGAAAATCACCCTGACACAGCTGTTGCAAGCCGTGCTGGTGACTATTTCAATGACAATGTTGTGGCCCATTTTAGACAAATCGTAAAGGAACGGGAGGTACAGAGCTCTATGGACAGATTTGTTGTGCGACAGAGGTCCAGTGACTCTCAAGCTGGTCCTAGTGGCATTAAAAGAAGAAGGGAAGTAACCCCGGAAAAGGACTTGCTACCTCAAGTCGTAATGGAAGGGGATTCCCCTTCTAAACAGTAAGAAGATAATGCTCTCCCCTCCTCCCATCCCATCAATCATCACCAGATCTTCAATAAAAGTAAGTGTCATTTAATTGTGCATGCCTTTTTCAGTTTGTGTGTATTAAAATTAACATTTCATGTGGTAAAAAAAAATTTTTTTCATACTTTTGGGCGTCTTGCACGGATTAATTTGATTTCCATTATTTCTTATGGGGAAAATTCATTCGCATAACGATTATTTCGCATAACGATGAGCCCTCTTGCACGGATTAAAATCGTTAACCGGGGGTCCACTGTATATATATATATATATATATATATATATATATATATATATATATATATATATATATACACATATATACACACACATATATACATACATACATACATATGCTTGTACATGCATGTTTAGTGTCACCTTAATGTAAGTAGAAGTAGCAAGACGTACCTGAAATCTTGCATGTTTATGAGACAGAAAAAATACTCCAGCAATCGTACCATAATGTAAAACAATTACAGGCTTTTGTTTTACACTCACTTGGCAGGACGGTAGTACCTCTCTGGGCGGTTGCTGTCTACCAGCCTACCACCTAGGTCATTATTGGATACTGTTATTTATTCTTCATGCCATTTTATAAATTTTTTTTACATCTCTGGTCGCCGTTGCCCAGTGGTGAGAGTAACGACTCTCATTGCTGAGGTGCATGTAATAAACCCCTGTATTTTATATATGCTGTATTTAACCATCTAAACTTTACTGTGAATTAAATTGGAAGTGTACCTCACAAAACATTACATATTTGAAATTTTTGTTTCCAGCAATACTGTTTACTTGTACTTCTACCAACAGCATCACACCTCACTTGTCTTTCACACCATACTCTAAATGCTGTTCATTTCACTACTCATTCCCAAATATGCTTCCTGTGCCTGGCCGCTATCACTGTTTCCTCCGTCTTTACCATGCTTCCAACAAGTTCCATCGTGTATTACACTGTTAACAGATTAGACTTCCCAGTGGCCACCACTTAGCTGAGCCTTGTAGCAAATACTTAATGATTATAGTACAGGTTACTATTAGTGTGAAAAAAGTGAATCTTTCTCCAGTCATCTCTTTCATTTGTCTTATTTCTTGTTTTTCAATCTCTACCATACTTAGCTATCATCCTATTGTTTGTTACCTGTGCCATGTAGTGCCTTTGCCATGTAGTGCCTTTGCTATGGTTTTGGTGGATACCATTGTTACTAAGACCACCATCCATGACAACCATTATATATGGCTATTTTTTCAAATAACAATTACCATATTTGACTGCTATGCTTTAACCACAAAGCCCCATGTTTGACCACTATATTCCTAACTGCTATTACAAGTGAATGGCAATAATATTCATAAATCAACAGAATGCTTACAAGAGAAGGTAGTAAGGGCTATGCTGCTGGAAACATCAAAAAGCTTACAGTAAACTGAATACTGAAGACAGGACATCATGAACTTAATTATGCTCTTGTAGCTACAAATAGGTAATCATTAGTCTGTTATTATTCTAGACTATTAATCTATTTTGATGATCACTTTTGTGTACCACTTTCACTGCATTCCTTTACCCTGGTAAGGACAATGACAACAATTCCTTAACAGTGCCATCAAATTGTCTGGCAATAGGTATATCTGTACCCTAAAAATGCTTTGTTGTTCAAATTCATTAAAATAATTTTATTTTAACCCCTATTCAGAAATTTAAAGAAAGCTGATTACCTTCTTACTAGACTTTTATACAATGTGCCCATGTTTGTATGCATATAGTATGAGGAATGAAAGGAAGGTTCTAAAACTAAATATATGCTGTATTTACAACCACTGGATTATAAAAGCCAACTGAAATGTGGAACACTGAAAAGAGGGCACTGAATATGCAGGGCCCTCCTGTATAACTTTAACAATAGGTAAGATAACAAAAACAGATTCATAACTAGGCATGCCATGATATTCATGGATTACAACAAATAAATAAAACAGCTGATCCCATCACATATCCATGAAGGCTGTCCTGGGAAACTACATTGCTTGAGGAGGTACTAGGAAAAAAACATGAAAGAGCAGCTTCCATGCAACTTGTTGCAATCTTCAGGCTAGATTAAAAAACATTATCATTATTATTATTATTAAAGAGTTAAACCTGTGTGTGTCAGAGCAAAGAGTGGTGAGGGCTCTATCCTCCATCTGCTAATCATGAGAGGCAAGCACTCTACTCTTGCAGTCAGCTTTCTCCCTTACATACCTAATTATTTTCACATACTCCAGAAATTGATCACAGTATTGAAACACAGCAGTTAATGTAAGTTGATAAATCACTTACCCAATGCTCCTCTATTACTGTACATTACAGCAGTTATTCAAGTTATTCTGCTGGGACTTGCACACAGCATTTACCTCATGAAAACAAAGCACAATTGCCTCATGTATTGCAATAACAATAAAAAAAATACATCTTTATTGTATAATAACAGAATTAAAGTATTTAGTCAGGTAGGTAGTAAATGATAAAGCCAGCCACCAATCTAATCAGGTTTAAGAAAGCTAGCGTTCTTATGGTGCCATATCTCCCTTGCCTTTTACATGCCATCCTAAGATGTTAATACCACTAATTAACACAAACAATACAAATGCTCCATATACAGTTA